CGGGGATTCGAACCCGCGACCCTCAGATTGCGAGTCGAGCGCCCTAACCACCGGGCCGAAACTACTGTATAATAACAGCAACAAAACACAAGACCATAGTTCAATAATGAAATTTTCAATTTATTCTTTTTCGAAGTATAAAATACACTACTAAAACAACAAAATTACAAACACTTGCACGTATCCTGCCGTGTAAAGCAAAGGATACAAAAATAAACTTTTTAATTTCTGTATATTACAACGTATGCATTTCGTAATATCAAAATAGTATGTACTAAAAAATTCGACTTAAAATTGCCTTCCTTTACATTTGGACACACAAATTTATTTTACACAGAACTACACGAATTAACCTGTATTTACAGAACCTAAATTCAGACAGAACAAAACTAAAAGTTACGATTTTTGACCTTAGAAGAATTACGATTAAAATCTTAATTTACAAGCTATATTTTGTTATATTTACGTACAGGCTATGAGATGAGAACTTGACGATTTTTTTCTTTAGAATTAAAATACAAACTACAAAATAATCTTAATTATGTTAGGCCTACTTTGTACTCGTCAAATGCACTACTGTCTCATTCTTTGGATGAAAAATGCTTGTATGCAAAAAAAAAAAAAAGCGATAAAATAATGATTGAAATTTTTGAGTTGGTCAAAGAACTTAACACTGATGCTTGATACACGTCCAACGTTTTCTTTATGAAATTTATTCAATTTTTCTATGATTAAATACTCTTATGCATAGGCGTCACTAGGTGCATAAAAGATTCGTGGCCATAGGCGCGGAAAGTTTCGTTTTTTTTTGTGTGTGATATCAATCATAGTTTTCTGTTCTGATTTTTCAAGGCACGAACTGGGGATTCGGTGCATGGGTCACATTTACCAGTGCCTAGCGACGCCTCTGTGATTATGATTTTGCTTTGAAAGAACAGAACAAATACCAATACCTGAAGAACCCATTGTTGAGAAAATAACATAAGAACCTGGGATAAAAATGTTTCACTTTAAATACTTTTATTATCTAATCAACAATATAATGAATTTATAAACAAAAATAAATAACCATCAGTGAGTCATACTTTACGTAACTTGTTTTCAGCTCTACAACACTTATCAAAAATCTAACATCTCCGTTTTTTTTTCTACACTTCAGACTTAAATAAGGTCACAATTTTTATAAAACATTTCACTCTGAAACGCATCAAACATGACTTATACCATTAAATCAGGAACTAACAAAAAATAGTCTGAACTATGTATTTAAAACTAACTAGAATTTGTTTAGCTTTTTACTATTTTAAGCAGTTAATGACGAATTTATCATGGTAACTACTAAGGAATACAGCATCCTGGGATTTTATCGTGTGAGGATGATAACATCAGTTTTCCATACTCTGTTTATACCACAGAATTCTGTCTTATATGGTTCTATACATAATTAAGTACACACAGGACAGTTGACAAGAGCATTCTTTAAATAAAACTGTAATTAAACAAGATTTTTATATAAAGGTTATAACAGAAAATTCAGATATATTTATCAAAAATTGGCTGAAATTTTAAGTTTATTAAAGTATATGTGTGGGAGAACAGATTTTTTTTTAACACTTTGACTGCAGCTGCTTTAAAAGCATGCAGAGTTTTCACATCGTATACAGCACACTCACATTCAACTGCCAGAGGTGGACGTACCCAGTATGGCGAATTAGCAGTCAATGGGTTAAGGTACAAAATGGCTACATTGGATTTGACAAAATTAAAATAAGTGGGTGTTATCCAAAAAACAACCAGATATTAGTAATAGAAAAAAAAACCCAAGTCAAAATAATAATAAAGAAGATAAGCACCAGAAGAGGATTACATCTTCAATGGGTTTACATGATGCAACTCTTAATTATCAAATGAATAAAAAAGATTAGCACCAGAAGAGGATTGAATCTTCAATGGGTTTACATGATGCAACTCTTAATTATCAAATGAATAAAAAAGATTAGCATCAGAAGAGGATTGAATCTCCAATGGGTTTACATGATGCAAATCTTAATTATCAAATGAATAAAAAAAGATTAGCACCAGAAGAGGATTGAATCTCCAATGGGTTTACGTGATGCAAATCTTAATTATCAAATGATATGGATGCTCAGATCTGAATTATATGAATAATTCAACTGCACTCTATTGCCCATTCTTCCCTGGTTGTACAACCTACTTAAGAGTTAAGAACCAGTAATTATAAGTACCTATTTAATTCAATAACGTTTCAATGGATTACATAATTTGAACTTTTCTACTAAATGATAATATATCTTTCATGTTGAGTAGTAACTGTCTTTATAAAGTTTTCAAAACATTATCATGTTAGTTTTACATATTGAAACAACTCTTGAAATGTGGATATTTTTTTATCAACTATGTATACAGGTTTGTGCTCTAAAATTACAGAAGCTAAACCCCACAGAAAGTAATATATTCACTCATTTCCTATATGGATAATTACTTAAAATTAGAAGTTAAAATTTGATACCACCAATTTAGAAGAAAAATTGCCTTCTTCGGGAACCTTCAATAAACGGGGAAACTAAGCTGTAGACACCCAGAAATAAAATTCACACCTACTGCACATTAAATGCATAAACTTGAAATTTAGCTTAACAGTAAAACAGTTGCTATTCTTTGATAGATTGTTTAGACAGAGTATTCACGATGATAGTTAGATGAATGGACAGCAACTGCCTGTTGTAAAAACACAAGTATTTCTACAACAGGTGGTTGCCGTCCACTCAACTCAGTTTCATCAACATTGTTACAACCTGTAAAATAATCTTATGTAGAGGTAAAGCTGAAAGAAAACAATATTTAGGGCAACTAGCAAGGTTGAATCCACAGACAGTACACATAATTAACACGAACTTTTTCAGACATATACATATCATCATACAGGAAGAATTAGGGACAGTTTTGTCATGAGATCTGCTTAGAAATTTTCAGTTCTTCTTCTTCACTGACACTAGCATCTGGTTGGACTAGGCTTTTGACAACAGGAGGAGTGTCACTGTTTCCTTTCTCAGATAGCTTCCGGTCATCACATTTGTTCAAAAATTGTTTTAATTTTTGAGTTGATTTAGAAGACTTGGCACCTTTGTCTCGTAAAGCTATTTGATAAGCAACCTCAAAGGCTTGTCCTAAGGTTAGTATTATTTCTGTTGCAAGGTCCTGAAAAAAACAAAGAAAAAGGAAGCGTACAATGAGCTTTTAAATATCATAAAAGTAAAAGTGAGTAAGAAAAAATAAAGACAAAATACATGATAAAATGTTATACAATATATTAACAAAAATTAAAGCAATATCTACCACAAGAGATGTAACTGTCTTATCGTAATCTCGTTTTCTAGGAATAAATGTTTTTTTTCAAATATTATTTTAAAAATATCAAAGTGTAATTAACAAACAGTAAAACTATAACCATTTTTACAAGTCCTAAAATATCAATCTTAAAATTATCTTTAAAACAAAAATCATTGTCAGGAAATGTCCAAAAAAAAAAGAGGATATTGTACATGTATCAACAGTAAATCTTAAAATGAGGAAGACAGAATACGGATTTTAAAGTGATTGCATCAGGATTAAACAAGCACAAGAAACTGCCTTATTGTAGAAGCACACTGCCTACCAATAAAGAGAACCCCCCCCCCCCTCCAATCGATCACACATGTATATCTCGGTGATAAAATATGCTACAAATGAAATGTGGTCACTCAAATAAAAGTTGTCAGGTTATCTGCAATATTGCTATCTAAATAAAATATGGAAACAGTGCAGTACCAGCCACTTCAGAAACCAACAATTTCTGCATAGCCTGGGCACTAAAAACCAACAGGAAGGACTCTTCATGCTGTTATAGGAAGTGTGGAAAAAGACCCATATGAGAGTCCTTCCTGTTGGTTTAGGGAACACTTGGTTCTGTCTTGCAACACTAACAGTAATTTCATGCTGTTAGGAAAAATGTGTAAGATGGCCCATGTCAAATCTCTGTTAGTGTTGCAGGACAGAACCAGGTGTACCCTAAACCCACATGAAGAACTCTTCATGCAGTTGCTAGAAGTGTGGAAAATGACCAAAACAAATGGAAGTTAGTATTGAAGGTGTGCCACAATTTGATCAGAAGGTACCTTCATAGCATGAGTTACAATGAGTAGCAATGCAATTTTCTGATGTAGAATACTTTATTTTTGATTACCTATTAGCTGACAATAAACCTTTGCAAATAACACAGAATGCCATTTAGATTTAAAAAAGTAAACTTGGATTATAAATAAAACACTAAGAAATCAAGAACAATCATTCTATCTAAAATTAAATCTTTCTTTAATCAAAAAGGATCCTACATAAAAGTACTAATAATTTTATTATAAGTAGGTTTATTAGTTTAAGTTGTTTATTACCATCTATGTTTATTAGTTAAGTTGTTTATTACCATCTATGTCTATTAGTTTAAGTTGTTTATTACCATCTATGTCTATTAGTTTAAGTTGTTTATTACCATCTATGTTTATTAGTTTAAGTTGTTTATTACCATCTATGTTTATCAGTTTAAGTTGTTTATTACCATCTATGTTTATCAGTTTAAATTGTTTATTACCATCTATGTTTATCAGTTTAAGTTGTTTATTATCATCTATGTTTATCAG